TTAAATATACAAGTTTGATAAAAAATCATCATTAAAGAAGAAAATTTCAAATGGCATTTAGAGGCTTTTGCATCTGAACTCTTCATATATTCAGTTAATTTTTATCAGTGTTAGTTTCACTTTCACTTAAATTTGATTAGTGCTGTTGACTAGTTGTTTTGTTTTCCCTATAACAAAAGTACTGAACAGGTCTAGCTCATACTTATAAAATAAAACAGCAATGCAGAAACCAACTAAATCTTACAGTGTGTAAAAATTGCATTTCTTGACAGGAAATAATGCTGCAGGAACCATGTAATTCAATAGACAACTGAAATGCAACTCTATGACTGGCTCAGAGCTGTTTATTTGCAATAAAAACAGCCACTGTAATAACCCCAAATAAGTCCCAGTAAAAGCTCATCTTACATGCCATGTATTCATAGGCTCAGTGATCTATGGGGCTTACACTTTATCTTGAGGACCTGTGCACTGCTGATCCAAACAGGCACACCTGGTGCCCAAACAAAACCCAAGCACCTGCCCACTCAACCTGTGCACGCGGCTGTCTTTTCTCAGCGTGAGAAACTGCCCCCACCCCCACCCCCCGTGAATGCAATGGAAATCCTCTTCAATTTACGCTCTGTAATACCTTTATGGTTAAAATTCCAACTTGAAATGAAATATTGGATGGTATTGATTGATTTTTGCTGGTGCTGAATGATGATAAACTGATATGGTTTTATATTAAAACCAAGAAGTTTTCTTCAAGAAGGAAATGGAGGCACATAATCTCCTAAAAAAATATTCTACAGTCTAAAGTAAAACAAAATACATTTTATGAAATATGACCACAGACTGTGTATAAACCACTCATTTGTCTTAAATAACACTGTCCAACAGCGACATGAATAAAGTTTCAGAGGGAGACAGCAACTCACTTTCTTGAACTCATTGAGTTTTCATTCCTAAAGCGTCTGTGGGTGTGAGGGGCAACAACAAATTACAGGGTCAAAGTCATTTCAGAGGAGGTGGTACTTTCCTTTCAGCACAATCATTGGCTAATGTTTTGGCTGATATCATATTCACAACAAATGTAAATCCGCACTAATGGGTCAAACTGGTGGAAAGGAAAGAACCACAAAGTACACTCAACCGAAAAGAAAAAAAAGATGAAAACCTGGTATAAAAGCACAAACCATTATGTGAGCCATTACCAAAAACTACTATGACTACTAAAACTAATTTAATATATTAGAAATATATTTACTATAAAAAATAAAAACTTAAATGATGAAATTAAATATTTTTTTCATTAATTGAAATGAATTACATTAATAAAATATTGGTTACTGTAGTTATTTTTGAAGCATTGTTTAAAAAAAGATTTAAAAAAAATGCTTGATGTGAAAGTATTGTTTTATGTTATATTAACATACTATTATATATTTCTTGGATAATCTAAAGAAAAAAAATGTTTTCCACAAAATGTAACTGGAACAAGAATTTACAGTAAAAAACAAACAAACAAACAAAACAAACACCAGAAAGGGGATTGTGCCTCCTTAAGAAGTCCGCCTCACACCACTGATTAAAGTCACATTAGGGTATAGAATAATGGTTTTGAGGGTTTGCACTTGAAGTATTTCTGGACTTCTTTGAGAGACTGCAAATCACCGCCTGCATCCATACACATCCTGAATAAAAAAAAAAAAAAAAAAAAAAAAAAAACCTTTTATATTCTCAAAAGCACTTCCATTTCCTAAGAGCTCCATTCTGTTGGATCTGTGCATGGATGATGGCGACAAACCTTTAATTTCCCTTGACAAGCTGTCGGCAGCCTCCTTATGGAGGACAGGTGACTTTTCAGAAGGTTATTCATGTAATTGTTTATTTATCATCGTCTTTCTGCTAAAAAAATCCCTCGCTCTCTCTCTTCTCTCTTTTTCCTTTTTCATGTTCCTGCTTACATATAGTAAGGTCTCTTTAAGTAACATTGGCTTTTAAAGAAGTCCTTTGCTTTGAAACCTGCTAGAACCCACCTAAGGCAGCCAATAAGAAGAAAACAGTGCATTTTTGCTGTTGAGAGGCCTGATTATAGGGACACAGGAACACATCTCTCTCAGGTTTCAAACTGACCTCTAATCTGCCTACAAATGCCATTCGAGCTTCAAAAGAGAGTAACGGTCATTGTTACCAGCTGGTGAATATAGCGTGGATGCGAGACATTTCTACGATCTGTTTGTATGTGTGTGCGCATGTGGTACAGTAAATCATGTTTGTCAGAAATTATGCTGACAGCTTTTGATGCAGTGCGCGTCTGAGCCGGAGTAGAAGCCATTTTGTTGCTTGCCATCCTTGTAGCCACATGCATAACGCGCGTTTAATGTGATTTGCCCAGGTTTATCTGGCACTGGGCTGGGCCTGATTGCCACTCGCGTTCCTGCATACTTTTAAGGATGTCTCTTTAGAACTGTCCAGACACATAAAGTCCCGTTTCATAAGCCCTTCTTTGCATCTCCACCAACCGCCTTAAGTACTTTGAAGAGTCTTAGAGTGCACTTCACAAATTTCCACACCGGGAGCATATCAACTGTCAAAAAAAATCAAGCTTTCCCATTCTTTAACATCTTTTTTTTCCCCGCTTCCTCCAAAGCCTTTCCAACTTCGCATCAGGATTGGCTAATACTTTTTTTAAAAGCATGTTTCCACAAGATTTATCACAAACTTTGATGAATCAGCACTCCGTTAAACTCAAAGTTTGAAGGCAAACACGTTTTTTTTTTTTTTTACACGAGGTAAAAATCACAGATCTGCACTTGAATTAGAACCACCTCGACCTCTTCGTTTTTAAAAATACCATACGTATCAGCGAAACAGCAACAAGGCCCTGTGCGCACACCATTGTGCATGTCTGTGATCATCTAAAGAAGTTTCGCTGCTGAGCTTTTCGTTTATGCAGAAGTTTCCAACTCTTCAGGGTGCCACGGGTCTCGTCTCTCCCCCACCCTCGTTCTCCATCCTCTAGTTTTTAATTCTCCTTTTCTTTTTCTTCAACTCCTTTCCCTTTGCTCACACACGGAAGAGCATCATCTTTGCACATATATAGCTCTGGGTATGATGAGGGATTCAAGTAATACAAGCATCTGCTTAGGGCTTTTGTGTTCAAAAGATTCAATTAAAAAATAATTACCAAAAGATTAGTAGTAGTCGAACACGACTGTACTGTTTGAATTGATGTTTCTTTTCATGTGGTTTAATAATAGAATGCTTTCTTAATTAAGAAAAAAGGACCGCTGCAGTGCACCCTGACTGAATAAAAGTTTGTTTGATGTGTTGTAAAATTAAATATTTTTTTGATCTAACAAATTAATTTCCTCCCCCCCTTTTTCCCTTTTTCACTAGCAGGAGATAAAGACAATTTAATTTAGATACCAATGGCTAGAACAAACCATTCCCTGAGCTTCGGTCAACGAACAAGCTATAAAACCAAGCCCAGAACAATTAATTGCTATGGTGTTCATCTACAGCGCGGGGTTAGCGACGCACGGACGTGATAGAGCATATACGGTGGGTAATGATTTCGGGAGAGAGAATACGGTGGAATTTTCTCCTTAAATTACCTTCTCAGTGGTGTCCCACACCGTGCGGCTAATGCACAGCTTACAAATCCCATGCGTGTATGCAAACACAGCGGGAATCTCCTGTGCTGCCGTAATTATCCCACCATTTTAATCTCTGATGGCCTTATGTGAGATTACACACGCTGGAGCATGTATCAATGCTCTGACTCGGGCTCCGCTACACCTCACAGGGAGAAACTGAGCATATTCATGAAGCCGGGCTACAGCGATGTCTGATTTGTGGGCAAACTGTACTTTTGAGTCTGATCTTTTCAATTAATCATTTTAACCGGTTTATAATGTAAACAAAACATTCAAATTGGAATAGGTTCAAATGGTTAGCAATTCACTGATAAGACAAAAAAAAAAACTCTCTTCAGAAATAAAAGCGGACAAAATTAACTTTGTAACAATTGTATACTCTAATGAGGATAACAAAGTTACTTATCTAAAGTGGACGATCAAAATAAAGGTAACTTTTCAGCAAGGATGTGTTAAATTGATCAAAAGCAACAGTAAAGGTTTATAATATTACAAAATATTTCTATTCCAAATATTATGCACATTCTATGCATCAGATAATCCTGAAAAATATGAATAAAAACAAGTGTTTTTAACATTGATAATAATAATAAGAAATGTTTCTTGAGCAGAAAATCAGGGGTGCGTTTCCCGAAAGCATCGTTAGCCAACTATGGTCGCAAGTTCTGTCGTTACCAATAGAGTTCAATGGAAATTGCGACCATAGTTGGCTAACGATGCTTTCGGGAGACGCACCCCAGAATGATTTCCGAAGGATCATGTGAGACTGAAGACTGCAATAATGACTGCTGAAAATTTTCATCACATAAAAAAAGATCCAGAGTTTTCTAAAACACAAAAAAAAGTTTTCGAAAACTCTGGATCTTTCCGACCCCAGCCTTTTGAACAATAGTGTAGACAGTAGTTATAACGTCACAAAGACAACAAAGTTGTTTTTAATCATATAAAAACAATGTATTTAAACATACAGAAAAAAAAAAGACTGATTTTGCATGTTTAAATACATAGCTATGTACCAAAACAAACAAAAACTGCTGATGTAAATTAATATTGTATTGTAAATTGCACGGCAAATTAAATTAAATGTTATTATCACAAATATTTGTATATATGTTGGATGTATTTGAGCATATACAGTACAATGCCATGCCAGGATGTTATGGACCATGTGGTGGAGTGCACAGATGTAAAATATTCAATGAATCTTTTTCAGCCAGTTAAATTAAACACTCAGTTTGAAGCACAAATTCACAGAAATTAGTCAGACTTGTCCTCACTATTAGGCTCGGCCCTCTGTTACTCCAATGCTTCAGAGCACACACACACACACACACACACTCTGTCTGCTCTCCTCACCTCTAATCCACACTGGAGCTGGGGCTGTCAGAATCCCCGCTAACTGTCACACTGCTGACCACTTCATCTGCACCCCCACAGACGCACAGGCCTGACTCCATTTGACCGGACACTGACCTCAGCCAAGTTCAGCTGGGAACCTTCATGGAGAGGAATAGCGAAGAAGAGAGACAGCGAGAGAGAGAGAGAGAGAGAGAGAGAGAGAGACAGCGAGAGAGAGAGAGAGATAAAACAGGCCTGTGACAAATCAAATAGCCTCTGAGCTCAAGGCCCTGTGCTTGCTTTGCTGCCTCATAACCTTATTTGTTCTGAATATCGCAGAATAATAAATGATTTCTGTCACACTTTTCAAACACCCGTGCAACTTGCACGCCGTGTGTATGTTGGATAATGTACACAGAGGGGCCTATCTGGAAGGAGAAGTAGTTTAGCAGAAAAGAATGAGAGAGAGAGAGGGGGGCTGAACATGGGATATATTTGATTGTCATAAAAAAAAAAGGTTCAAATTATAAAAGGGAATGAGAATGAAAGCACTTCATTTCTTCAGAGACTGCTGCTATGCTCTTTGTTTATACTACATTATTACATCACTGGCAGACCTCATATGCAGAGCTCCAATTGGTTTATCTTCAGTAGCATGTAGGCAAAATCATTATGAATGTGATTCAAAAAGCAATCATTTAAAGACTTCAGAAACATTTTCGGTGACTTTATATGGATCCAGCCTTGCCATCCCTGCTGCCACCCCAGTTGGCAGCAACGAATTCAAAGTTATGGCCAATTTGACCATTTACGAGCGCAAATCTCCTGACTGCAATGAATTTGCTCCGTGCACAAATGACAACCGTTGACGTTCGAACTTGTGTGTGTGGGCCAGTACTTCCGGTGAAAACTTGCGGTGATCTGACAGCGAGAGCGGGTGACAACAGTGACCGAGTTCCATTACCAGAGAGATAAGTTTTCACCCTGACCAAATTTTTAAATTCAGATAATTTTAAGTTTATTATACCTGTGAGTTTCTATGCTTTCTATTATTGCATTTATTTTGTGCAAGTGGGATGAGTAAAGAGCATCTGTTTTATAAAACATCAGTCTGGTGTTTATAAGCAGCACATCCAGTATTTTCCTACATGTAAAATATACAAAAACTAAGCTATATTGAATTGTTTGTGGTACAACCTTCAGTTAAAAATATAAATGTAAAATATGTGATGGTAATATTTATCGAGCTACTGATGCAAGTAAGTGAAAATATATGTGCAGAATTAAGAAAATGGTATTTATGGAGATAAATTGTATAGCCTATCACAAATTAAGCAAACGTGTGAATGTTCACGAGGTATTTTATTTAACATTTCTAATCGTAGTTGTAACTCTATATTTACAGTAGGCATAATTGTAATTGCATGTGCATTATGCAGCATGAGTCCAATTATTTTGTTCGTGAACAGTTGTATTTCATTCATTAATCTAACTATGCATCCGTGCATTTATGGCATTGGCTCGTGTGATAGTAATATGGATCTCAGTAGTATTTTAAGGAATATAATTGATTTTATGAACAACTAGAAGAGATCATTTTCTGCTTTCTCTGGCTCCCTGCACTGGGCGAATGTGAAACACATTGTCTCTCACCTGTGTCTTACCTTAATGCCTTTCTTGTGATAATCCCCCTTACTTCTGTCATACTTCTATCTCTTATCAAGTGAGATCACATTGTATGGCCAAAAAATAAAATAAAATCAGATCACACATCTGCCATATATTGCCACACTTCAAAATTTCCTGCCCCCTCTCACCACCCCATAAATATTTTTTTTTCTAAATCCGCCCCTGTATCAACTAAAAAACATTAATAATAATAATTTTATTTTGCTTTTATTTTTTATTTAAGTACATTTACATTTTAGTGACTTAGAAGGAAAGGTTCTATGCAATGCAATGCATGTGAATGATCACACAATTCAAGATAATGTGGTTTAAAAAATGCAATTAATCAATATCAGACGAAGAGTGCTATTTCAGTTTTTATCCTCAAAAATCAGCATGATTAAAATGTGATATTAAGTTAAAACAGTTTAATAAACAATAATTTAATAACAACTACAAAATGTTGCAGAATAATGTAATATATGAATGAATAATAGCCTTTAAAGAACCTTTGTGCCAAAACTGTTCTTTCTTCTCATTATAGAACCTTTTTTAGCATTTAATGTCCTTTGGAGTTGAGTAAAGAACCCTATGCTACATAGAACCGTTTTTTTCTAAGAGTGTAATGTGCTGTTGTCATTTTTAATGATTTCTTTTCTTTTCTTTTTTTTCAGTTAGTTTTAGTACTTATTTCAGTTAGTTGGCTAGGCAACATTTCTCGTTTTTTAATATTTATAACATTAATATTTCAATTTTATTTTATTTGAACTTCATTCTAATTAAACTTTTTTTAATAATAAAAACACAGATTCAATTATTAACAGATCAATGACTTGGATTTAACTACAGAAACAGCATTTTGTTTTTTTTCGTGACAGCAGTTGAAGGTTCAAGGTGACCCGAGCTGTTCTTTGTTAGTGTAGTTTTAACATATCCAAGAAGCTCCTCTGAGTGTTAATTATGCCTGAAAATCACAAAAATGTATAAAAGAAAGAAACAAGTTTCTCTTTTAGGGGGAGATTAAATAAAATGTTCTTGGCGTTCTTCATCTTTGAATTATCCGCCTTTGTCTACTTTAACTGTCCCTGAATATTCAAGAAATGAATGTTGGCAGAGAGAAGAAAAGATATTAATTAAGAGTAGATTCTGCATTGACTCAGACTTGTACATAAGACAAAAGGTTAAGTAAATGCCAGGGCTGCTATGTCACCTCAAACAATGAGTATTAGCTTTGGAATCATTAATGTCTGCTGAGAAAACACAGTCAAATTGGAGTCTTGATTGCCAGAAAATGTGAGGCCAGGGCTGTTTCATTTCAATCTATAGTTAAATTAGCCTCCGACAGCGGGTTGAAAACACACAATTAACTGAGCTAGGTGGGGCGTAGGGGAACAGCACCTCTAATGCACCGCTAGATTGAGATTGAGGCAGGCTTCCAAATAAGAAACATCTCGTCGGCTTTACAAATCAAAGAAGGGGCTCCCAGGCTCCAAGCCATCTAACCCCGCTGAAACCTGCCGGTGTGAACTCATTGTCAGGGGCTCACTCTCTCAGGACCTTTGATGGAGATGAATTTTGGTCAAAACATTGGCATTTAAGTGCATTTTTACATTTACAGCTCATCGAATAACCGAACAGCATCAGAGATGGAACAAATAAACAAATGAGCAGGATGAAAATATATAAATAAATGGTTGAGGTGCTCTGAAGATTTCCCTCTTTAAACTGATAGAAATTGCAGAGGCATCTGAGCAGTAGCGTTTCCGAGCATATGGCGTTTTAATTCCTGTTTGTCTCATCTGGGTAACTCCGGCCCAGCAAATCTCCGACTCCATCCAGGGAAATATCCAAAGAAGTGAATGCTTAAGAACAAAGGGCTTACATTTCCTCTGTAATGGGTGTTTCGTTCGCCATATTTTCCCCAGAATTATGAAACGGAGAATCTAGTTCGCTCACTGATTTATTTGCAGTTATCATCTCTGCCCGTCTTTTCTCTCTCCACAATATGAAAATTAACAGACATTTCAAAAGTGTTGTCTTTCCACAAAACTGCTCCATCAAATAAAATACACAAATAACACAACATTTCGCTCATGACACCAAACATGAGACCGTCCTGAACAAGCGGCGTGTACATTTTTAATCACGAGTCGCCTTTGTGCCTGTTGACAGCTAGTGAAGTATGACTAATAAGAGCGGTGTTGTTGCTTCCCCGCTGAGGTGGAATGGTCTCTTCAGACAGAGTCCTGTAGATCATAATACATTTCATTGCGGGATGGCTAATAATCTCACTGTTTCACTTTGGTGGCAATCACAGCAACTACAATGCGTCATGATTCACCAATTAGGAAGCCATATTTCTTCAGGCTGCCAGTGCAAATGGACAGCACGTATTGGTGTCAATAGACGCTATAAGCTGAGCTCAGTTTCTCATTTGCTGTATAGCATCTAGCTATTCTGTGAGATTTAAGCATACATTTATAAATATATTATATGCACACATACTGTAGCTATATAACATACTCAAGACACAATGAGTTGTTCATGGAGAAATGCAATTATACAAGCTTACAAGCTTGAAGTTTTTTTTTTTTTTTTAACTCCCAGCTTTTAAACTGCCATTTTCAAAACAAAAATCCAACAGTTTTGAGTCTAACATGGCGTGATCGTTAAAATTGCAGTACAGATCATGTTAACTGTTCATCTCTTTCGTTTTACTATTAGTTAAGGCACGAAAACAAATTAACACCAGAGGGTGTGCTGATATTGTAAATGTATTTTGAAATATATGTACTTCATTAGAAAAACATTCAGTGCAATCTCATCCCAAGACATCATATAACTGGGACGCCTTTTGACCATATGTCAACATCCGCCTTTTTAAGGTACCCTTAAACGTCGGTTAGATGACGTTATCGGATCCTAACCCTACCCCAGACCTAAACCTACCCCTAAACCTACCCTGTCACCTAACTGATGTTAAAGGTAAAGCGTCAGTTGTATGACGGCCCGGGATTACATGCCTTTGGTGTGAGAGACCCGGGTTCGAATCCACTGTGAGACACCAATGTGTCCCTGAGCAAGACACTTAACCCCTAGTTGCTCCAGAGTTGTGCGACCTCTGACATATAGCAATTGTAAGTCGCTTTCGATAAAAGCGTCAGAAAAATGAATAACTGTAAAAAAAAAATAAAAAAATGTAAATGTAAAAGTCCATGCCTTACAATAGCTTAACTGTAACTCTACACCCTAGCCTCGTTTAGCTACACGGTTAAAATTAGCTAATGAATGACTTATGAATTTGCACATGGTTTGTATTAAAGCATATTAAAAACACCATATAGACATATACAACATATAAAAGCTTGATGTTCACCACATCGGGACCTAATTATTCCATGTTTGAATATTTTTTTTTCCCAATAAATTTTTCCAGTAACAGTCCATTTTCTTAAATACAAATTTTGTGACATGATACTTATATTTAGCA